GAGATGGGGACTAATTCCAAAGGGGCACAGGAAACTTTATGGATTAAAATGATCGTTACATGATGGTATATATGTCAAAATTCATTGAAGTGTATACTTTAAATGTGTATATATTTATTATATATAACTTATCCTCAATAAAGTTGGTTTTTTTAAAAGACATGAGTCTGATTAAGTCAAAAATGAAAAAAAAAAGAAAGAAATAAAGACCCTCTTTATAAATGAACATAATTACAGTCTTTGATAATAATAACATAGCTGCTTTAATGAAAACAAAGATTTAATATAAAAACTAATTTAATATCAAAAAGTATGGGAGTATTTCATAATGAAAAAGACCAAAGCCAAAAATCCAAAATATGGTGATTTATGATCAATGGTGCCATTCATTTATTACTTATGCAAGTATATAAACATTTGGTTGAACAGTACTGTACTACGTGTTGGAGATATAATAGAAAAGAAAACACGTTTGCCTTCAAGAACCTTATAGTCTAAATAGGAGACAAAGATAAATTGTAGGAAATTTAAATATAGAATGAAATAACTATAATATAGTGAGTGTTCTAAACGATATCTCATTTAGGGATAGAGTTGTGGGGAGAAAGGAATCAAGGACAACTTTCCAGAAGAAATTGTTCTTTATCAAGGAGCTGAATGATTTATTTTTCCCATAAATATTCCTTGAACAGCCATTATGGTACCAGGGACTGTGCTAGGTAATGGGTATACTGTAATGGGCAAAATAGAAGTAATTGTTACCTTCATAGAGTCTAGAATACAAAAAGGGAGACTAATAATAAACAAGTATACAAATTAGCATATGTATACTTAAAATTGTTGGTAAATTCTACAGTGGGCGCTAAAATAAAAACAAACAAAAGATACCAACCATAGAGATGATGGTCTCAGAAAGTGATAATTAAGTTGCAATCTGATAAGAAGCCACCAACAGTCACCAAATTTGAAAGAGGGGTATTTGAGAAAAAGAAAAAGAATGTGCCAAGACACAGAAATAAGATGGCACATTTGGGTAACTTTAAATGTTCAGCAGGGCTTGAGAACAGATGTAAAATTAAAATCTAAGTGGTAAGAAACAAAGTTCAAGCAGTAAGAGAGGCCTAATCGTTAAAGACACCTTTGTGCCATGGTATAAAGCTGGCCTTTTTTTGGGGGGGGTGGGGGAGCATTATTTTGATAATCTACTCATATGCAAAATACACATCTATAAAACCATTACAACTATGAAAAGGAAAAGTTCATGAACTAAAACGGCAAGAGCAATAACATTAATGTCATATAGTCAGAAGGATAAACTCAAAATGAGAAGAAACCTAGGAATAGAGAAAAGAAATTATAGAAAAGAATAATTTTATAGTAAAGAAATACTATATAATTTTATAGTAAATATTTTACTATAAAGATTCGAAAACATTCAAACACTGACATAAAAGAATCATAAGAACAGTGTTATCTGATTCATATTGTGAATATTACAATTTTTAGGTTAATAATTCAGAGGTATAGAGAAAGAATCACTTGAGTCAAAAAGGACCAAACCTTATATCATTATCTTCATGAAAAGAAAATATTTCCAAAAGTAGCAACAATCTACATACTTTGATGAAAAATTTTTTAAACAAAAATCAGATTAACGCAGTATTTTAAATTAACTTTTGTTGCTAATTAATTACTAAGACAGGATGCCAGGCCACACTACATGGTGCTTCTAGTTTTTCTATATACTGTATGCATTTCTGATAAATGGAGAAAGAATAGATGACCTGGCAGAAGACTCAGACAATAATATGTGATTTACAGGACATGAATGCAGCTACCACAAGATTTATCTGACAGCCCTCTCCGATAGTGGACTGTTGAGTATCCGATAGAATGATTTCTAGTCTAGAAAGTCTACTACTGAGTAGCCATACACATTATTTATTTATTAGATGTTTTGGGTTGAAACCACTTTTAAATGATGCACTTCACAATGCACAGTCATAAATTTAGCTTTAAGCCCAAGAAGGGAGGTAGTGTTATTGGAATGTATGTCAGACTGAATTAGGATGAGCAACGCAACGCTTTTATAAAGTGGCCTTGAATGCAATGTCAATTCTTTCAAAAATGATATTAATGTCAAATGAGCAAGACACAAACACTTTATACAATGCTAAAATATTACTTGAAACATTTGTTTAACATTTCTTTAAATTCATATAGATTTCAAACAAGTTTATACATACATGCAACAAATTTTCATGTTTGTGAAAAACAATCTGAAATACAGTTGAAAACTTGTTCAATTTTTTTGTGTGCATCAGAGAACATACAGTTTCATGAAGAATGTATGAAGTCTTATTTTAAGAAGTAAAGAGGATTTAAAACAGTCTTTGGAGTTTAAGTAGTTCTTGAATTATTTTACATGGGATGCAATATATGACTAAATCTAATTCAATAAACCTTAAATATATATTGATTTTACTCAAAAATATAATGCTGAGTATTGTAAGAGAGCTTTCCAACTCTAACATTTTACATAAACAATTTTAAAATTTAAATAGGATAAAATATGAAATGGTACCTAATTAACTTTTAATGAATGAGTAGACTTTAGAAAGTATTATATAATCCTAGTTGAAGCTATAAAGACATACATAGTAATGTGTTTGGTCTTATTGGCAACAAACCAAATGTGATCATTTCCTCATTTCTTAAATTTAGGTTCTAAACTCTCTTTTGTAATAAAATGTGCTTATACACCTTGTTAAAAAGAGTGCAAAAAGAAAATAAGTTTTGAATGGATTTAAGACAAATAATGAGAACGTGGCCGATTGTCATGAAATTAACATCAACTAATTTGTAAAGTTCTAAATCAAATTTGCAGATGTTAAGTTCATAAGCATATCCCATTATTTATGTGATTAAAAAAGGAGTTTTGACCTGATCTTTCGATCTTTGGCACTCAATCCTCTCCATCTCCTCTTAAAAAATTAATTAAAATTTTAGAAACATGGTAGCTTTTTGCTTCCTACCCTATCTCAGACTAAAAAAAATTATCAATCAAACTCAAGCCATCCCCACCCAGTATCTGCAAAATGTCGACCTGAAATTCAATTTCATATCTCTTAGGCTTTCATGTAGGAAAAGACAGTTCACTTCTAACAAAATAAATCACTTTTGTGATTGCCAAGTTGACCTCTTTGAATTAGGAAAATTCAAAGTGAAAAATGTAATTATCACCCCGGAACAATCTGTATACATCTGGAGCTAATTCTGGCTTCATTTTTCACATCATTTTTCACACTGTGCTATGTCTTGTAGAAATGCCACAGAACTTTTGAAGAACTCATAAAAAATGTTATGGACTTCAAATACCCAATAATGTATTTTATTCAAACAAAAAACTTGAGAATTTTGACTTTTTAAACTTACTCTACTAAGTGATCTTCATATCTCATTTGATTGAATTAGTATTAAATAGCACTGTGGCATACATGACAAATAGGTGTATTAAAACACATCATTCTTTATTCTTTGCAGCTTCTAACATTCAGATATGTAATATACAATGTCTGAATAGCTTTTGTGTACCAAAAATACAGTCAGTTCTTCTAACTAGAAAGTGAAACTTCATTATCAAAATCCACCAATGAAACAAATATATCACTATATATAATAAATTCATATTCTTGTGAAGAAACATCTAAAACTGTAAGTGAATGCTTCTTAAAAATAAGGGTAATTTCATGTAGGTATAAGAATGATATAAGGCAATTTCCATCTAAGAAAGATTCAATTATTTCAAATCAGATGACTTAATGAGAAATTTTATCTAGTCAGTTTTTGAAGAAATGAAGTTTTCTAAAGGAGATGATTAAATTATAAAAACATGGTTCTCACTGAATCTAAGAATAAATCCAATAAGAAACATAACTACTACTCACAAGTTCCTTATAAAAATACATTAGGTGCAATGTACCTAAATTGCTCTTATTGCACTTTATTGACAATGCATAGTATTGATTTTTCACACCTTCTATGATTCTTTAATTTGTATTCATGAAATGTCCATCAGCACAATCTAAATAAATTTGGCAATATAGGCACTAAAACAAATAAATCGATGCAAAGAAACATTAATTTTGCATTATCCTTATTCGTTAGGCAAGTAAACCATGAGAGTTGTAAATGAAGGTCAAAGGTTTTGAAATGGGTCAAAACCCTTGACCTCTAAACCAATACCTTTCCTATTAAAAAAAGCTATTTTAAAGTTTTAAGTGGGGGAATTTACTACCAGCAAGATATCACTTTTAAAAGACTACAAAGAAAATTTTCGATAAAAGCATTCATCTGTTTAATTGCAAAATAGAAAATAAAACATCACAGGATACATGTTTTCTATATAAGTTTTTAAAAAATCATTAAAGTTTAACACATGAAGTACAAGGTTTCTGAACACCTAAAGTAATTTTGCTTTTACAAATTTATTTTCTACATCTTATTATGATGGCTGCCACATTTTTGTTGATGTTTTCCCAAATCTACTGTGTATGTCAAAAATAATTAGCAATGACAAGGACTCAAAATTATTTATCACTCATTTTATAACCTCTGCACAAAAGGGAAGTAAACCCATGATTCCCAGTGGAGTCAGCATGGCACTCCACGAGGTATAGAAATAAATCTGTTTCTATAACCTTAATACCACATAGCAAAGAAATTTAGTCATCTCAAGATCATTTGATCTGCACATTTTTAATGTAACTCTAAAAACCTTTGCTTTCTCATTTATCTACCAACTTTTTCTCAGTGCTTGCTTCAAAATCATCCGCAAGCATCAAAGATAAGAAGTAATCCTTTTGCAATACGATTATTTTATAATAGCAAACTCAAAACCTTATTATAGCAAAAATTTCAGTAATGCAAATATAACTTCCTTGTCAAAACAAATTCATGTGAGAATTTACTTTTAATTCAGCATTTATTCTGTCACTCACCTGAGAACACAGTAGCATAACCAATTCCACAACTGAATTACTAGACTTCATGCAAACCAGACCTATTAAAAAAAAAAGGAAAAAAACAAATATGAGGGATTTATTTATCATACAATTTAATCCAAATTGGTTTTTAAAATAAAACATCAACAACTTGCTAAGAACCAAACCGGCATATATTTGATCAGACAATTAAACAAGGTATTCTACGGTTACTTTAAACCTGGCATCAAAATTACTACCGTTTTTTGTAAACAATTCCATTTCAGCTTTCAAAATATTAAAACATATATTACAACTTCATATCTAATGACATTTCACAACAGTCATAGAAATGTGCACAACATATGCCATATTGATCAATATCATCTACACTTTGTTTTGGCGAGAGTTGATCATTATACATGCAGAGAAGGGAAATGGCTCCCTGACCTTTGCTTTCTCCACCACACTCTCTCTGTTCAACCCTCTAGCTATCAATCAAGTTTCCATTTTGTTTCATGGCAGCAGACATCCCAAACACTCTTATTAGTACCTTGACCTCTGACCTCACACTAAACCTTAACAGAAATGCAAGTTGTTGTCTGTTATATACTCTTGATTTCTTATAAATTAATTTGTTTACATTTTCTCTTCTATGTTTCATTTTGGTTCACCAAAAATATCCTTAGGAAGGAACATTTATATAGTTATTACCTATCTAAAGAATTCTTTAGCTTTAATTACCAATAAAATCTAAAGTAGTTCATTCGAAGAACATTTTATAACTAGTATCTTAAAAAAGCAATGCCAATAATTAAAAGGACTAAATTAAATTACATTACTAATAGTCAGAAAAATTACATTTTTTATTGCATACTTTTCTAGGCAAACACAAGCTTAGGTTATAGAATGTAATATCTAAAATAATACCTGGTGGCCTTTAAACACCCTACAATATTACCCTCTTTTTTTCTTCCCATTAAAGCTCTTCCCAGGTATCAAATCCATTCTCTTTCTTCTATCTTCTTGCTCTTTCTTTCTCTCTCTTTACTTTGTTTTAATAACAATGCCTCAAATATAATGACAGCATATGTTTGCATTTTGTAGCTTTACAAATAGCATTCAAATTAAACAGGGGGATCACCCCCTTTACTTTTCAAAAAAAGTTAGAACCATTTTCCTCAATGTCTAAAAAAATACATAACATAGAAATGATGGTAAAAGTGTTAGCATTGGCATGAAAATTAGCTACAGAATGTTTATACGTTCAATTAGGCAAGCAGGTCATTAACTAGACTAAAATGTGGTTTCTACAGCACTAACAGGTACATAGCTCCTCAGGTTAATACTGCCAAGGCCAAAAAAAAAAGGGTAGGGCAATATCCCATCTCTTATTGTTAGTGTAGTCCTCTGCTGGTCTGAAACCTTGCTACTTTTCATAAAATGTAACCCAGATAAAAGGAGTTCAGTTCTACTCCAACTTCAAAACCCATTACTTCTAAGAAGTAAATTCAGATCTTTCTAAATTAGGTCATTAATTCTTATTGCTCTATTCTAGAGGAACCAGAATTCCTGACATTGGGCCCTAATCTGGGCCCTTTTATACCTGCTCAGATAATGAACAATACTGATAAAAAAGACCTTGGGTTATCCAAAATTAGGAAGATTTATAGATGCTCATTCATCCTTTTTACCACACACATCACAGGATACACACAAACGTAACTTTATGCATAAAGAAACAGGAGATAACCCCAATAAGGGACTTGGCATCGAACTGCACAACTTAAATCACTTCTATTTTTGACCTAAATTGTTGCCTTTGGGTGACACTCATTGCATGTATGAAAAGCAAGAAATGAAAATTTAACCACTATATCTGTCTTCAGATTTAAAATCAGATTCTAAGAACTATCCAAAGGAAGGCCCTGAAACCTTGGGGTCAGTCAAGTTCTAAGTTGCTACAAGGAGTATCAATTTTCATTTTATACACACACACACACACACACACACACACACACACACACACACATGTATACACCCTACTTCCCTATTATTGCCTCAGTCACAGGAAAGAGAAGGTACTGCAGGCTCAGAAATCTGAATGGGCTCATAATTTGACCTCTGTCAAAGTCTCTCAGAATAATAGTTGGGTTTGGTTTGCTTGATTTTATTTTTTTGGTTGGTTTTTCAAAGACAGGGAATTTTAGTCTCTTGAAAAGGACAAACTCAGGATGCCAAGCTAAGAGTTTTATAACTGTACTAATCTGTAATTTCGTGACCAAAGACTACGGCAATTTCTTCAGTGGAAACTCACCTAGATATATGATTTCAGTCATAAAATCAAATGACTTACCAGATATTAAGCTAGTGCCATCTAAACCCATTGATCTATCTAAATCCTCAAGTATAATCATGAATAAAAAAAAGTCATGATCATTTACCGTCTGGAATATAAGAACCTTTTATACATATATATTTTTTAAATCATCTTAAAAATTTATTTTAAAAATGGGATGGTGATAAACATGATTAGAAATTTTAATAAGAATTTAGGCATAATAAATTCAAGTTCTTATTCCATACTTTCCTGGTTTTGAAAGTATATGCTGAATGAACAATGTCTTTTGGGTGCAACTAAATACTACTCATCATGAAACTGGAATATAACCATCTTGTAAGCACTAATTCCAAACTTCAAGTACATGTTTAATAGGTTCTAGCTTATCACTAATTCTGGTTTTTCTTCTTGAACTTACATCCTCAAATCCACTTTGGGAAAGATAGATGACTAAAAGTTTTGTTGAAGAGAGGACAGACATCTTCTTTGCTCCAGACTTGCAAACTATATTTTTGGTTAAGATTTACAAACATCATTTAGAATAAAAACTCCATTCCACTGAATTTTCATTTATACATGAACTTTTCCTTCCAATCATCATTGTATGCACACCTGCCTTTACCATTTATCCACTCAGAAACTGTACCAACTAAATTGTGGTACATAATCATCACAAAAGGTGAAAGAACACTGTCACATGTATTTCAGAAAAATTAGATGGTCTAGGTTCTTACCACAAATTATCACATAAATTTTGCACAGTGAAGTCTTTCCTGCTGGAATGATGTGCTCATATACTGTATATGTGTAATGTGGCTCTTTGCAGGGTCACAAACCACTGTAATATCTAAGATATTTTTCCCTACCCCAAATACAAGGTTTTGGCCCCATTTAAAATCCAAGTTTGTATCTTCTTAAAATACAATATAGTACACTGGGCAAACCAGTAACAAAACTGAGGGTAATACACAAGAGTAATGATTTCTTTTCCTACAGCACTATCATTGTAGGGCAACTGCAGCACTCTTGTTTTCTTATTATTTTAGTCCATAGCATGGTAAAGAACAACTGATGTGTAATGATGAAATAGCAAAGTGTTTCAAGATATAGGGGAAAAAAAAGATCATTAAGACCCCATAACGAATCTTAGATTTGCAACAAGGATCCAGTGAATTCACATATAATAATTTTAAGATAGAATTTAAAAATTTTAAGCTAATGTTCTCTTTGTTCTTTGAAAGATCTCTTTTAAAGAATAAAAGCATTGAAATATTAACCCTTACAAATACAACTGCTCAAAAAAGAAACCAAACTAGAATCATTCCTAAACGAGCCTCTTTATATACCGAGGATTAGGTTGTGCCAAGCAAAAGCGCTACCCACGGTCAAATCAGAACACAGGTGCAGCGGTACAAGGTGAAGTCTTGAATTCTGAACCTC